AAAAAAACCCGCAAAAAGAGCTGGGGCTAGAGCTCAGTGGTACAGTTCTTTGGATTCAATCTCTCGAATTGTAAAAAAGAGCAGTGGAAGTCCCTTTCACAATAATCCCTTAAAAAAACAAGGTCACATAATTTTACCCAAAATACATTTTGAGGTTTCCATGATCACAATAAATGACTACAATAAATGTCAACTGTTACCACAATACAGAAAACCTAGTTTATAAATTGTGATAAATCTTAAAAAGCAAGGGATAAAATTCTTGCTCTGCCTCTGAGCTGGGTGGCCCCAGGGAAGTCACCTGGCCTCTCTGAGTATGTTTTCCTCACTGAAAAAGAGGCCCACGATGCTAAGTGCTCTGTCACTAGTACCACAGGGTCACTGAGAGGAGAGTTTGTCATGATAAGCGACAAGACACATCTAATGTGCTGGCACCTAATACAGACTCAGTAAAAACTGGTTCCCTTCCTCATTCTCTTCACTAAATGTTTTGTAAATGCTCACACAGGGAAGCATCGTAGAAAACAAAAAATATGTATGTTATTTCTTATCCTCACAGGTTTCCTTGGACTTAGAAATCCAACCTAGGGATAATTCGAGCTTTACGCTTCCTAGCTGTGTGAGCCCAGACACGGCACTTTACCTCTCTGGGCCTGTTTCCTCCTCTGTAAGGTGGCGAAGTTGACCCTCCTTTCCTGGGGAGGGGTAAGGATGAAATAAGTAACGCGGGGCGGGGGCTTGGTCACGAGGGGGCCCGTGTGTGGAACTGCAGACACACGCGACAAGACCAGCAATGCCTGCGGGGAAGGTGCGCAGCTACCTGCGAGGAGCGGGGTCACTGCCAGCTCGACGCAGAAGGCGCTCTGTCTCCAGCAGCCCGACAGCTTGGTGTCTCTGTCCTCCACGCTTGGAGGCTTCTTCATCCCCTTGTAGCTCTTCTTTTTGATTTCAAAATCTTTGCTTTTAACTGTGACATCAAAAAAAGGAAAGAAATGTTAAGTGATCTCCTTGAGCCGCCCTATGCACGCACACGTGTGTACTACAGAGGTTCCAGAAGAGCCCAGAAGCTCCTGGAAGGCAGGCTTCTCCTTTGTCCTTGCGTCTCTTGCAGCAACCAGAAAGGACAGCTTGTGTATGGAGGGCAGAGCAGCAGGGTGTGCCCACACCTGACAACGCCCGATTATCCAGAGGTGCAGAAGTGAAGCCTGCGGAGCAAATCACAAATTCTAAACCAACCAAAAAATAAAGCAGCACAAATGGGCAAATCACAAAAGCGTGGGCCGATAAGTCCATGGATGCCGCCCACCCTCAGGAGGCATCAGGAGCTCAAGGTCGGGCTCAGCAGACGGGGGATCCTTAGCTCTGCCACAAGCGGGCGACAAGGTGGAGCCAGAGGCAGCAGCTAGCAGGGGGCCAGGCAGGTACCCTGTGCCCCAGGCGTCCCGCCAGGCCCACACTCATGACCCAGGCCCCTACAGTCCAGCTGGGAGCGTGAAATCGGGGACAACCTCATGTCACTCACTGGGGACCAGATGGGTGGGACATTGCAGCGTGCACATGGCGGAAGTCAGAGCGAAGGTGCCGGACTCACGGACAGGAAGGCGGCAGAGTGGAGAGGGGTGTGAAGAACCAACTGCGGGGGGGCACAGGGAGGTACAGAGCCCCCTCCCCCATGACTGATACAAGCAAGGATCAGTGGTGTGTGAAAGTATGAGAGACAACAGGGACCCTGATTTCTATGTCAGGAAGGGTATGCTCCCCAAAAGGTCACAAGCACAGAGGTGTCTACTGCCATTTTTTTAAAAAGGGAAAATACATAAAATATTAGCATCGAAATTGTATTATATTTTTCTGCAAACTGTCCTATTTTTGATGCCAAATAAAGAGTGGCTCAAAACCTCATTAATGTGCTCAAAGCTCATGGATCTGCTATGTCCTGGGGCTGCGGGTTCAGCGCAGGGCCTTCACACTGAGCTACATTCCTAGCCTTTTTGCTGGTTTCTATTTCGACACAGAGTCTTCCTAAGTCACGGCCTTTCCCGGGTTAGGCCTGAATTTGGGACTCTCTTGTCTCAGTGCTGGGATTACCAGGCATGTGCCACTAGGAAAGCACATTTTAAAAAGAGTGTTGCCAGGCATGCTGGTGCAAGGCTGCAGGCCCCGCCCTGGGGAGGCCAGGGCAGGCGGGCTGTTGGGAGTTGGAGGCCAGTCTGGGTACACAGGAAGCTCAAGGCCACAACATAACGCTGTCTTAAATGATAAATGGAGTGAAGCTAGGGTGGAGCTGTGGCTCGGTGGTGGAGCGCTGCTGGCCTAGTGTGTATGAAGCCCTGAGTTCAAATCCCAGGACCACAGCAAAAGGAGGAGGGAAATGAAGGAAGGGAAAACAGAAGGAAGAGGAAAGGAAAGAAAGGAAGAAAGGAGGGCAGGAAGGGAAGAAATTCACTAGCTGGCTACTTAATCTAGAAAGGAGGGAACGCACAAGCTCAGAGTTTTATCCAGCTGTGTCGGCCGTACCTGGCAGAGAGCCTGAACATCTCCTGCAGCCTCTGCTGCTGAACTAGAGCCAGGGCAGGGGGAGCCAGCAGCAGATCAGCTGGGTGAGAGCTGAGGAAACGGCACATCCCAGAAGGTGGCCTGGGTACCTACTGGATCTAGAACTTTCCTCCTCAGACTGGAAACCTAACTGCTAATTTAGTGGCTCTGAGGATTCCTGTCTCTTAGCTGCCTGCAACTAATATTAGGTGTCAACTGGGTCCCAAGACACAGGGTGCTGTGTCTTTTGCCAGAAGCAAAAGGTTTATTTTGCAAGGAAAGTCTTTCTATAACTCCCACTCCCTTATGCCTCCTGATCTACCATGCACCCAACCTAGTTAGAGCTTTTTGTTTATCCTGAGTATTGGACAGAGTGGTTGTTTCCAAAGAAAGCAATAAACATTCAGAGCTGTGTCAGGGGTTCCAGAGACCAGCAGCCCATTAGGACCTCAGCAAAGGCGGGACCCAGGGGAGCCCACCCATGGCACAAGCCAGCACCGGATGGTGATGGCCAGCAGTGACAGGGACCGCAGCTGGGTATGTCAACTGCTGACATCGGAACTGCGAGCAGAGCTACACTTTGCCAATTCATGATGTCCACTGAGTCGAGCAGAAGAACCCTTGGCTGAGTGGCAACACGTCTGTCCCTACCACCACATCTATCGCATAGAACTATAATTCTTTACTTGGAGTTGGCATTTGAAATAAAAGATTTTCATGTCAACAAAGGCACCGCATGTGGATCAGGAACACAAAAATACTGCAGGAATTGGGTGGGGTGGGACAAGATGGGGTGAGACGGGATGGGGTGGGGTAGGGTGAGGTGGGGTGGGGTAGGGTGAGGTGGGGAGGGGTGGATAAAGTGAATGGATGGGATGCTGAGGGAGAGGGAATGGAGATGAAATGGATGGGCAGGGGGTGGGGAGATAAATGGAGAGGTGATGAAGGGTAGACAAGGTGGGGGATGGGTGGGTGGACTGAGATAATTTGGAGATAGATGGGTGTGTGGGTGGATGGGGTGGTGGATTCAGAGCTAGACAGACATGAGGATGGATAGGTGGATGGATGGTTGGGTAGGGATGAATGGAGATGCACAGATGGGTAGATGATGGGTAGATGGTGACAACCAGATTTGTAGATTCAAAGTGTGGAAAACACAGTACTCATCATTTGGTCAGATATCATATCCCCACATTGCAGTAGCCTGATTCTGAACTATTTCATAATTTTCCAAGTCTAATAACATTACAAAATTTACAAATCCCATCCTAACTTACTTTGAGACCTCGGTTTTTCTAACGGGTTTGTTAAGCTGCTAAATGACGTCCTGTCAATTAATTCTTTGATCTCCATCATGGTTGTCCCGATCAAAGACATAGTTGCTGCTCTTGAAGTATTTCGTCTAGAAAATCCACAAAGAGAAAATTTAATGAAGATTAAAAAAAAATATGTCAGATGCCAAACCTTAGAGTCTGTTTATTGAACTAAGTAAAAGTAGAATTTAAAAATGGCCCTGCATTCCTCTAACCCAGACTTTTCAAACTTTTTTTGTTTGTTTGTTTGACTTTTCAAATTCTGCCATGCATATCAATCATATGAGGCTTTGGCACGTAATATACAGGTTATGGTTCAGGAAGCCTGACATCTGGACCGCATTTCTAATAAGGTCCCTGGCACTGCTGATACCATCGGTCTATACTTACACCATTGAAATTCAAGCCAATTAGAAAAGTTAGTGGAAAAGAATATGTTCTTATAAAAATGACTAGAACTGAGGGTCAGCCAGATAGCTCAATAAATTAAAGCGCCTGTTTAGGCAGATGCAGGGACCAGGGTTCGATTCCCTGTATGCTGGGCCAGTCCTGCCAGTGGGGTGCACTGAGACGGCAGCTGAGATGGCATGGTGGTGCGTGCCTGTAATCCCAGCGCTTGAGAGGCTAAAAACAGGAAGATCAATACAAGTCCAGTCTGAGTAGTGAGACTCTGTAAAACTCTGTACTAAATACATAAAAAACCCAAAAAACTAAACTATAAAACACCTAGAAATTCACTTAAAGGAATGACCTACAGTACTAGGGAGATAGCTCGGTGGTCTAAGCGCTTGCCTGGCAAGTGCAAGGACCTGGATTCAATCCCCAGTACCACGTGCTGTGCCAGCCCTGGAACCTGGGCATGCCTGGCCAGCCACTGAAACCAGGCATAGTGGTACACACCTGTAATCCCAGTGCTGGGAAGGCTGAGACCGGAGAATCACTATGTGTGTGAGCTGTGTAGCAAGACATTATATAAAATAAATGGATAAAGAATAGATTTTTTGGGCCAGGGAGTTGGCTCATAGAATAAGCACTTCCCTGGCAAGTGCAAGGGCCTGAGTTCAATCCCCAGTTCCGAAAAGAAAGAAAGAAAGAAAGAAAGACAGACAGACAGACAGACAGACAGACCGACCGACCGACCGACCGACCTAGGGGGAAGAATTAACTCCCACAGGGGATACAAAGCAAGGTCTGAATTAAGGGAAAGGATCATCAGCATGGGTGATGTAACCTGACTGTGGAAAAAAGTGAATTCTTTCCAAACTGCAAGAACAATTTTTAAAAATCAAGATTGTCCAGTGGGCATGCGACCCAGGCCTCTGGTCCCAGCTATTCTGGAGGCTGAGGCAGGAGAAGGCTTGAGCCCAGCCTGCAATACAATGAGACTCAATCTTAAAATAAATAAATAAATAAATAAGGTTGTGTAACGGCATGCACTATTTTTTTTTCTTTCAGTACCGGAGCTCGAACTCGGGACCTTGCACTTGTCAGACAGTGCTTCTGCCGCAGAGTCATCTCCCCTGCCCTGGCTTGCTTGTTTTTACCACATCTCTCAAACCATAGGCGGGGCTTCCATTCTCCCCCTGGGTCCCACAGCATTCAAGGAACCCCTTCTCTAGACCCTTCTTAGGCCTGCAAAGCAATGAGCTGCCATCTGGGAAAGCCAAGACTCAGGAGTCTGAAGGTCTGGTCTGGAACCTGGCTTTACCAAAATTTCTACTGCTATGATTTTGTGTAAACCATTGAATCACCCTGCCACCATGTGTAGAGAACAGAGGAAGCAATCCCACCTCAAACAACGACCATGAGGGCCAAGTGAAGCAGAAGGCCGCGCACAGAGCATGCGGCGCCTGATGTATGCTCACGCACGTGCTTCCCTTTCTCAGATTTTGCTCGGATCGCATGCGCCCCAGCTTGGCCAGAATCACTACACGGGCGCACAACGCACAGTAGGGCGAGTCCAGCGGGGCTCTACTCCCATCCCTCAAAATAACACGGCTCCGTCCTTACCGAAACGTGGAAAGATCATCTGTCTTGAGCGACTTGTCATATTCCTCGCCGTTCTTGGGGGGAATTTCAAGCTCTGCTTGGTAAGAACCAGGTAACATTAGCAAATGTCATCAAATTTGTGCCATAGAGCTCAGCAGAACAAGCGCCTGCCTGGCAAGAGCAAGGTCCCGAGTTCGATTCCCAGTATAAAAAAAGAAACAGGAAACAGGGGTCCCTGACACATTCCTGTAATGCTTGTCCGCAGGCAGAACTCTTGGATATGGAAAGTATTTAGTAAACAGGGTTTGCTAACCATCACTGAGCAAATAAACAGTAACTGTACCGACCAATGAATTCTAAATATTTGGACAAACGGAGACAAGAGTTCCTCTGGTTCTTCATATATTACTTCCATAGAGGAAAAAAAGAAGAAAAGAAGTCTATTAAATTGCCCATTTTAGTACTATTTATATTAGAATATACTCAACATCCTTCTAAGAGTTCCAAGTTCCCAACTCTAAGGAATATTTAAGCAAATTCCAGTCCTATCCATAGATGAAATCCTATGTAGCTCACACAAATGAAGTTTATAGAAAGTGTTTAAGGAAAGAAGGCATGTGCTGATGTATTTACAATCTCTGATCGCATGCAACCAGCATAACCTTGTCTATGCAGAAAAAATTCCAGAACACAAAGACATGTGCTGTATTATGGAAAGCAGAATGTCATACTGATTGTAGTTAACAATGGAATCATACTTTTTTTTTCTTGCTTTTCTTATACTTTTTGTTCACTGGATTTTCTTAAAATCCACGTATGTAACTTCTAGAGTCAGAGAAGATTTCTTTATAAGCCACAAAATAAATAAAAGTAAAGAAAAAGAATCAACAATGAAGTGCACCCTTCTGGGAGACCAGCAGGTCATAGCCCCCTACCCCCCAGAAGTTGGCGCTCATACAGGGGAAAGGCCTCGGCGGGCACGCACAGGACCGCAGCGCATGGGAAAGGCCTCGGCGGGCACACACAGGACCGCAGCGCAGCACACTGCTCTCTGCCCAGGGTCTGTCACATGCAGGTTGTCCATAAATTCATCTCTATACACCTAGCAAAGACTTCTTACCTTTTTCAGCTTTTTCTTGTTTTTCTGGCGGAGGCTCCTCATTCCACTCCTCCTTGACAATGTTAGCTTTCTCAAGGCCTGGTTCCCACAATTCTCTCTGACTTAAAACCAAATGTCTCACTTCCTCTAGAATGGAGAAGAAGGGTCATTGACTCAGAACTGTCTACTGAATACTATGTGGAGCACTCACTTGCCTCTTGGTACACACAGGTCAGGGGGCAAGATCCGTAAAGATCTCTCCCCTGCTGAAGCTGCAGCACATGAAGCTGGCCAGAGATACTGGGGAACTCAACAGAGTAACCCCCTATGTGGGTGGGTGAGGGGCTCAGACATCAGTAGGCAGTGGCTCTGCCAAATAAGCTCATTCAGGATCTGCCTGGTGTCTCCCTACCTAATCCTAGTGTCATGGGAAGCAGACAAAACATGGGAAGAAAGAGCACCAAGAAGGGTTAGGAGGCCGTTCGTTACACTGGTGGGCCTGGCCGGGATCTCTCCTAAAGAGTCAGAGCTCAACCCGGCAAGGTTTCGGGACTTTCACAGGGAGAGCAAGCAGGGAGGTACAAAGTCAGATTTGGCACATTGTGACTGGAGGGCTGGGGGACATCATAGGTTTCTAAGGGAGCTTAAACGTCTCGAATTACATTACAAGGCCTTCAGTTAAACAAGCATGGGTTACACAGTGGAAGAAATGTCCCATTATTAGGCCTGTCTGGACATGTCCATCTGGTTTTGGCAGGCACTCTTGGCAAGGATTTATTTAAAATTTTAATTTTCTGTTTTGTTTTGGCAGAATCGGGGATTGAACTCAGCCCCTTGCGCTTGACAGGAAAGCGCTTATTCCACTGAGCCATCTCCCCAGCCCCCTAATTTTCCTTTGAATAGCATTGTACTTCAAAGGAAGCAACACCACACCCTCATTTTACAGGCAAGGAATCTGAGACTTCAGTGAACCTTCCTACAGTCAGACAACTGATCCTTAGCAAAGGCAGGTCTACACAGAGAGGTCCTGGCCTCTAGCTAGGGGGCCACCATCCCCCCATGCCTCTTCTTCTGTCAACTGGGGTCTTCCACACACATTACAATGACAAGCATGTGTGGAATAATGAATGAATGGAAGCACCAAATAAATAAGTAAATGAATGAAATCAATGAATGAATGAACAAAGACAGTGGAAGTTAAAGAAATGGAAAAAAAATGGATTAACTGATGAAGGACAGATAAAAATTGTGGCGCGCCTCCAAAGTCTGGGAAAGAAGAGGACCACAGTGTCTTCGGGAACCAGGAAGTGCAGGGGGCAGCCCTGGTGGGGGGTGAGGAGGGGCAGCAGCGGCAGGAAGGGAGCCCTGGGAGCCAATTGTAAGCTGCCTTCAGGACCAGACTCAGAAAACCAGAATGGACCCTAAGGGCACAGGCAGCCAAGAAGCGACAGGGTCAAGGCAGTGACATAGGAAGGCCAAGCCAGGAAAGGGGACAGGGAAAATCCTGGGCAGTGTCAGCCAAGGAGCAGAGAGGACGCAGCTGCAGGGTGAAGAGCTCCACAGGCCCTCGGACAGGCGGGGACAGCAAGCAGGCGCATGCGCGGGGTGGCCAGGAATGGAGCCCGCAGGAGTGCTCTGGTAGGGCTGGGGCGGGAATGATGTTGTCGCCAGGCATGGTGGCGCATACCTTAATCCCAGAATTTGGCGGGTTGAGGGAGGAGGATTGTTTCAAGTTTAAGACCAGCTTGGGTACAAAGTGAGCTCAAGGCCAGCCTGAGCTGCAGAGTGAGACTGTCTCAAAAATACCACAAAAAGAGTCTTTCTCCAGCACTGAGAAGCCAAGAAATGGAGTACACGAAAGCAAAGAGAACGCGAACCCTAGCTGGGGGTTCCATCCAAACTGTGGGGCTCAAGGCTAACGAGCTGCGGCCCCTGACCCAACGCACATTCAGATCTATCACCTGGCCACGAGACAGACGTCCTGGTGCGTCTGCCATCCCAAGATATAGGAAGACAGTCGGACTTTGGTACTCCGCTGCTGTGAAACTCAGCCAGCCTGGCACTTGATGCACCACGAAGTGAATATTTTGTCCCAGTCCTCGCTGTGTGGTACCTCAAGCGCACACCACAACCTGCCAGTGTGGATGGCCCAGGACAGAGTCTTGCTACTTTTTCCAGCCAACGTCATTTGTTTGGTGCTTATTATTTTTGATACTTGTTGCACCTCTGAGAAAATTTACCTTCTACCCAATTTTCTTACCCAGGGAGCCTATGATTAGTTTAGATATACATTGGTGATTATCAGCTAGGGGTAATTAATTAATGTCAGTACTGAGGATTGAACCTCACCTCATACTGAGCTGTACTGTTTTGAGACAGTCCCTCACTGAGTTAGGAACCTGGCCAGGTTAGGCTCACACTTGCGATCCTTCTGCCTCAGCCTCCCAGGATGCTGGAATTACAGGTACACCACCGTACCCAACTAGCTAAGGGTGATTTGGGCCCCTGGGGGACATCTGGAAATGTTGGAGGAAATTTTTGCTGGCCAAAATAGGAGGCTACCACTGCTGATGGGTGAGCAGAGGCCCACGCTGCTGCTCTGCGTCCTGTTACCCACAGGGAAGGAGGTCACCTGGCCCAAAATCTCAGGACCGCCAGGGACATCAAGGAGGAAAGCTTAAAAACTAGAAGTCCCAAACCTGCAGTATCAGTACAGCAGGCAGGAAAACTGGAGCATCTCAAATGTCTCAGGCACACAAAACTGAGGTGTGGCCCGGTGCTGCCTCCGGCTTTTGACAACTTTCTACACTGTTTGCTCACTGTACAGTGGGGATAACGCTATGAATCTCAAAACAAATGATCCTAATAGGCATGCCTCTCACTTGTTAACCTTCCTACGCAGCAGAATGCATCTTACAATTAAGCCACCACATCAGTCAATCAGTAGCATCTTAGTCTAGTTTTTAAATTCTCAATGGACAACTCCCACCCTACCATGGCTCACTCCTGGAGGGGGCCGCCTCCACCTCCCTCGCCCCACGATGCCTGGGGGATGAGGACCCTTTATATCCCAGTTTTCACAGATGACAAGTACATGATGTTCAGGAACGTTCCCAAGGCCACCAGGTAGAACCAAGTGGCAGATCAGACTTGGCCATCTGACTTCAGAGCCTGGGTCTTCCCAGCTCTGCCAGCTGCTCCTTCAGAAAAATAAGATGCCGACAATGACATGGGAACACCAGTAATGGTGTAGAGAGCTCCCCACCCCGTGGAGATGTTAACAGGGTTAGCAGGGGCGAGGCAGGATTTTGAAGTTTTTTGTCTCCCTACTGTTTTGGCGGGGGAGGAGTTAGTGGGGATATACCGAGGACCTCACAAGTGTTCAGTGCGCGGCCTACCACTGAGCTACGCCCCAGTCCAACTTTGTCTTTTGCTTCTTGGTACCCTTTAATTTTTTTCAGTGACTATACAATCCTAGGGTGGGAGACAGGCTAGTGGCGCGTACCCATGACAGAACTGCTGCCCTGGGACAAGAGGTCCGGGAGGTCCCATTCACTCTCCACCAACACTGGAACTGGCCCCCTAGGAAGGGGCCACTTCCTGATGTCTCAAGCATGTCCTGGAGAAATGGCAAGCCATCAAGACAGAAACTACTGTCTATACCACATGAACTAGCCAAAGGCAACAAGGGAAGACTGACATTGAGTCTGATACTACAGGTTGAGTGTTCCCACTCTGAAAATTCTAGGATTTAGGATTTGTTCAGATTTTTGCAATATTTGCACATACAAATTGGGATTATACCCCTGGACACACAGGTGGAAGGTTATTTTGTACGATATATTCAATGTGCCTGAGTTGTGATGGTGGTCTATCATACAAGGGCAAGTATGGTAATTTCTACTCGTTGGGTTGTTTGTCGGCTCAGAAAGTGTCAAGTTTTGTTTGTTTGTTTTTTTTTTTTAAGTGTCAAGTTTTGGAGCATTTCAAACTGTAGATTTTTGGTTTAGAGTAGTCACCCTGCAGTGAGAAATTATAAGCTTCCAGAAACAATAAAATCAAAAGAAAAAACCAATATCTGACTTACCGAAAGAGCCTACGTCATCTGAAAAACAGGTCTTCAATGGGTAATAGTACTTGATTTTTTTAGAAATCTTATCCTTGGTGTCCCAGATCCTCACAGTGATTTTGTGGAAGTTCAGTTTCTTTAACAATTCCTTTGTCACGTTGACATTAAATGTTTCGCTCCACGACACCCAGAGCTTATTGTCTTCATACCACGGCTTCACAGTCTGTGGAGAGCAACATACAGAGACTTCACCTGCAGGAAGATGGGGGTGCCGGCAGTGGACAGAGCTGGCCATCGCCCACCAAGGTGGCCCTCCACCCCTCTTTTCTAGCTCCAAACCCACCGTAGGAAATGGTGCAGAATAGACTGGCTCTGTCAGGCTCTGGGTTCCTTGGAAAAAAATAACATCAAAGCAGATGACTACAAGTTGTGTCTTCTCTGGTGACTTCGAGCCCAAGCCAAGCCTCCAGCTCGCATGCACTCAAACACTCACGCTCACGTGAAGGAAGGGAATTTCAGGAGCTGTCACTTTTGAGATACTCAGACATGACTGATTAAAAACAGCTGAAGAAAACCGCCAGGTGTGCGGTATCTTAGGTCAGTGCAGATTCGCACACAGAAGGCCTGGGGTGGCCCCAGGGTCTGCAGGTCTAGCAAGCGCTGGGGGACACTTACGCCACAGGTGGGTGGGGATTGAGCAGCATGCAAGGCCACATACGCACACAGGCGCACACACTTGCGCCCCACATACCTTTATTCCTGACTCCAGGGACACCTTGGCCAGTCCTGGAAACACAACCACATCAACTATTTTAGGTTCTTTGTCATCTGGCAGAAAGAAATACTCAACGTGGTAGAAGCGGCGAAGCTTCGCTATATAGGTGGGCGGTTTAGTATATTTCTTGTATTTCTCAATGAAACTTGTACGTTTTCCTTTATGATCTAGAAGATAATAAGAGCCTTGTTGTAATTTCCTGTAGAAAGAAAACTCTTCCAAAACAGTGTGCTATGGTTTGGTGGTGGTGTGTGCAGAAGGCTTGAGCCCAGCCTGTGGCCTTACTGGGTTGCAGCTGGGCCCAGGTGGCGGAAGTGAGGTCACTGGGGGCATGGCCTTGAAGGGATGTGGGGACTGTGCCCCTTCAACTTTCATCTCTCGGCCCCTGGCAGACATGAGGGGAGCAGTTTCCCTTCCCCAGTGCTCCCCACATGATGCGCAGCCTCAAAACAGCCCCAAAGCAAGAGCCAAGCGACCGCGGATTTGCACTTCTGAAACCCTGAGCTAAAGCAAAGCACTTCTCCTTGGAGGTCATATTCCTCAGGTATTCTGTCATAGTGGGGGACTGTGTACCCCATTGCTGACCCAGTGGAGAGATCAGGTCCAGGCTTCCCACCCAGCTGGGCAGCAAGGCTCAGCCGAGGTCCTGTGTATGTGCAAACCAAGGGCATGGCTACGAGTGAGCGAGTTTCCCTGAGTTTTTCACATTGGGCATCTTGCTGCCTCACTCCAGGCCCAGCCCTTAAAAGTGAGTTAAGACAAAATGCTCACAATGCAATGTGACAGGAGACAGCAGCCCTATGAAGAGCTCGAGGCACTGTAGAAACATTTAATCCACGTGGCATTCTATCAAAAATATAACCATCTTTAAAGCTCTAGGGTTGGGGCTGGAGAGATGGCTCAGTGGTCTAAAGCACCTACTTAGAACAAGCTTAGCAAAGCATCAGGGACCGCGGTTCAATCCCCAGCACCACATGCCGGCCAGCCCCGCCCCCTGGTGGGCTGAGCTGGCCACACACACACACACACACACACCTCTCTCTCTCTCTGTCTCTCTCAAATAAATAAATAAAAAAATTAAAAAAAAAATTAAAGCTCTAGGGTTATTTTTCATGTTTCTTTTGGGGTTGGGCTTGAACCCAGGGCCTGGCTCTATCACTGAGCTCCAACCCCAGCCCAAGCTGTCCTTTTAAAGCTCAAGGCTTGAAGCCCCAGGAAGCTGCTGCGGCAATAGTAATTCTGGCCACCAGATGAATGTTTGTACATAGTTTGAAATAAAGCTTCTCCACCACCCCTGGGAAGCGTCAGAGCCTCCCACTATGATAGCCTAGAGCGTGTGCAGCGCCCTGCATGTCCGTCTTCGGATTCAGTCCTAAGCGGACCCGAAGTAGACTGAGCCTGTCAGTTTCCATCAGTGGAAAGGGAAACAATCTAATGACATTTATCAGAAAATTCAAAGTGTATACTTTCAACCCAGCAACTGTACTTCTTAGGATCCAGGATACAGAAGGCTCGCCTGAACATGTGCACAAAGATGCCTGTTATGGGATGGTAATAGAAGTGTTGGAAGTAACTGTCCAGCTGTAAGGGGTGAGATAGGATAAGGGTGTGGCTGAATGGTAGGGGTCCCACCCATGATGTAAAGTCCTTAGTTCTATCCCCAGCAGTAAAAACAAATTTAAAAAAGGGGTAGAATAGGCCAGGCATGGTGGCACATACCTGCAATCCCAGCACTTGGGAGGCTGAGGCAGGAGGAGCTCTGTGAGTTCCAGGCCAGAGTGAGCCCAAGGCCAGCCTAAACTGCATAATGAGACCCCTGTCTCAAAAAAGACCCCCCAAAAGAGAGTAGGATAAACTAGACATACGATGGAATATGTGTATGTGTTTAAAATAAAACTAGTGAGTATGTACTCATAACCACTATCTCAGATGTTACATTTTAAAAATCAAGTTGTAAAATATATAGGATTTCTCTTACATAAAATGATTTATCTATTTATAGAAGTCTCTAAAAATATTTAGATATTGAAGGAAAAAAATTGTCCTACAATTTTATGTCCCCCAGACAAAGGTATGTCAAAGTTTCAGGATGTCTGGAAGATCTGTTCTGCAGATATTGTTCGTGAAAGCCCCAAAATCAGAAAAACAAGACTTCGAGACAGTGCAGAGGCCCAGTAGGTCAGAGATGGCCAACTGAGGGCTCTTTCGTTTGGATGGTATGAGTCAGGTGCCTTTTCCCAGACTTTTTCACTTGATTTTTTTTTCAGGCAGGGTTTCATTATGTAATATAAGCTGCCTTTGAACTTGCTATGTAGGGGCTGGAGAGATGGCTCAGTGGTCTAAAGCACCTACTTAGAACAAGCTTGGCAAAGCACAGGGACCACGGTTCGATCCCCCAGCACCACATGCCAGCCAGCCCCACCCCCAGGTGGGCTGAGCTAGCCACACACACACACACACACACACACACAATAAATAAATGTAAAAAAAAAAAAAAGAACTTGCTATGTAGCCCCGGTTGGCCTCCAACTCCCAGAGACCCTTCTGCCTCAGCCTCCCAGTGCTAGGATTCGGTGTGCACCACCACGCCTGGTTTGGCTCTTGTGCTTGATAACAATAGGTCCAAGATAAAAGCGCCACGATTGAATGATGACAAGGTCACCACATAATAAATAACAAAAAACTTAACTCACCAAGAAAATGGAGCAAGTAAGAATCAGTATCTCCCTAACCAGACAGTCTCCAAAATATCTGAGGCAGAGACAGAACGATGGAGAGCAGCTAAAATCCAGGATCCCAGTGTGACTAAGCAGCCCAGAGGACAGAAAGAGGAAACACATCCAGGTCCACCAAGAGGGAAGGCACTTTGTTCTGCCCCTCACATTGACCCATATGACTTGCTTTGCCCAAGAAAATGCCAGGAGAGAGGTGGCACCGGGCTGTGAAGAGCGCTGGGCTGGCCCTGCCTGTGTGTACTCCGCAGGGGTCCAGGCCAGGCCACCTGGGCCACCTGGCAGAGAGGAACTCTTGCGGGGGAAGGAAGCCAGCAGCCTGCACACCCAGACAACAGTGGGTTCCTATTTGCAGTCACTCAGTTTGGGGACTCAATTAGGTCATATGGAATTTAACTGACAGTTGGTAATGGACACACCTTTACACTTAGAGGGCTTTTTGTGTGAGTGTGTATTGTTTTTTTTTTTTTTGTACCAGGAATTGAACTCACAACCTTGAGCTTGCCAGGCAGGCGTGTGTCGCTGAGCTACATCCCCAGCCCATTTCTGTTGTTTTGACACGGGGTCTCATTTGGTAGTGCAAGTCAGCCTTGAACGCCTAGTGATATTCCTGTCTCAGCCTCCTGAGTGCTGAGACTGGAGGTGTGCAGCACCACACCTGGTTTCCTTGCAGATTTTTTTTTCCTTCTGTATTTAGGACAGGGTCTACGGGGTCTCACTACATAGATCGGACTCAAAGTGATTCTGCTGTGTTCAGCCTCCCAGGAGCTGGGATTACAGGTCTGTGCCCCTGCCCAGTCTCTCATCGCGCCCCGGGGGCCGGGCGGCACAGCACGCTGGGATCTAACCGTGCGGCGCCTTCTGCCTACGCAGGAGCTTTAGTCAGCTGAGCTATCAGGCCGGCCCTACCTGCAGATTTAGATTCAAAAGATCTGAGATTTATTTTCAACAAAGTATTAGTGACTTACAACCAGCTGTGGGAATCAATGCCTTAATACGCCCACCAGCTTGAGCCACGGTGGTTTAGAGCCACTGGCACCAGGACACACGAATGACAGCCTCCTTGTGGGTGTGTTAACCTTTCTGTGGTCTCTTCAAATGTTCAAAAAGCACATACAGGAACCGGGGAGATAGCTCAGTGGAATAAGGGCCTGCCTGGCAAGCACAGGGTCCTGAGTTCAATCCCTGGTACCCCACCCCTCATGCAGACAATTGGATAAAAATCAAGATTTGGGGCCGGGGAGATAGCTCAGTAGGATAAGCGCTTGCCTGGCAATTGCAAGGGCCTGAGTTCAATCCCCGATTCCGGGGGGCGGGGGGGGAAGGCACACACATCATCACCTGCTTTTTATGATCTTTGAGAAAATGAAGTCTGAGAAATCCAGGTGGCCACATAGGCACCTGGTCCACAGTTAGGCCCCTAATTTTCTGACCGCTGACCCTCTGGGATGGGGGCAGGAAGAAGAAAGCTGTATATGTACTCTACATTCCCAAGAGAAGGTCAACTGCACACCCCCTTTCTGGGAGGGGCCCCGACTGTCCTTTAGCACCTACCTGTATTCACAGGGAGGGCCAAGGAGATAATGAGATTGCAGGGGACAACCTGGGGCACGTCGGGGTTGAAGGTGCTGGCTTTCAAGGACTCCAGGCTGCCCGAGCTGTTGTCAAAGTCGGACTCCTGCGCTGCAGCCCTCAGAGAGTGGTCTGCCTCAGCCTCAAAGTGGTAAAAGTTAGGGAAGGAAGAGGCCGGCCTGACGTTTTCGCTGTCCTCATCTTCCCAATCCCAGGCGTGCAGAGACATGTTCCACAGTGCAGGTCAGGCTACGAGAAAATAAAGTCTGCGTCACCTCTGTCCCCAGGAGCTAAGCCCGACAGCGCGTAGGAAGACCCTCCCTTCTCTCGTGCTGCTCCGCGGCTGTCCAACGCCTCTGATCACTGCCTGGTGCGCAGTCAGTACGCAATACACGTGGAGGAAAAAATGAAGGAAGCACAGAGCAGGGCAGCGGGCAATCGTCAGGATGACGAGCGAGCCAGGCTGCTTCTCTCGCTCCAAACCAGGAGTTTGGGGCACTCCCGGAATCCCTGGCCAGGTGAGCGCAGTTCTCCAGGAATCTCGAGAGGGCGGGGATGGGGTGGGGGTGGCGAGTTCCCCTGCACCGCTCGGGGAGGTCCGCCGCAGTCCAGGCGAGACGCACCGGAGCACGCTAACCGTCTGCCATTTGGGCAAAGGCCAGCCAGGGTAGAGAAAGCCGCGCAGATGCCTGGCGAGGCCAAGGAGGGCGAGACTGCCCCGAGGCAAGACACAAAGGGGCGCTGGCTGGGTCCTGTTCCCAGCACACAAGCTCGAGGACTGTGGAGGCGTAAGCCCGGGCTACAGCAGAAAAGTAAGGCTGCGTTGGAGGTGGCGAGGCAGGTTAAGAAGAGACGGCAGGTTGGGAAGTCCAGGGCAGAGATGGGGGACCCCAAGGCGCGGCGGGGGTACCTGCGAGCCGGTGCGCGGGGCAGCGGACCGTGGCCTAAGCTAGAGCACCAGCTCCCCAGCTGCTGCCGGAAGATCTGCGGTCCCGCTGCTCACACGTGCAAAAAGCTGCCGGCTTTGTTTTCCAGTTGCTAGGAGACAGGCAGCGCGGGGCGGAGCTCCTGGAGGCGGGACTTCCTGCCCCGGCGTAGGCGCGCAGCCCGCTCCTCAGCAAAGCGCTTGCGCAGCGGGTGTGAAGCCATCAGTTCGTTCCCAAACAATCCGAACCGAGCCCAGCCCCCCAAAACAGTTGAGAACCCCGGGTACCCTGCACCATTCTTTCATTCAGATCGTCTTATGCGCCTAACCTTTCCCTATAGAACAGGGAAGGGCGCTCCCGTTCTTTAACAAAGGCAAAAGCAGAGCCTAGCTTTGCACACCTTACTCAAACCCCAACCTCTCTTCCTTAGATTTTATGCTCCGGCTGCTGAGGCCGGGACAGCATCATCAGGACTCTGTCTTGGGATCCTGTGCCCTAATTCTTAAATGAGGAAACAGAGAGGTGAAGCAATCCACCCAAGGATGTGCAGGAAGTGTAAAGTGTGATGAAGGTGAATATTTAAATACAAAAGTATTACAGTTAAGGAGACAGCACCATTAAGCCCCTCAGAATACGCCCCCTTCCTTCGAACACACCAACCCCATTGCTCTTGCCACTTTTTTTTTTTTTTTTTTTTGGCGAAGCAGGTCTGGCAGTTCTCACTCCTGAGTGTGATAAAAAAAAAAAAAAAAATACTGTGAATGCTGCTGCCGAGTGCTGTCCAGCCAAAAGGCAGACTCATAAGAACACGAGAATGTGTCTTCATTTTACCTTGTGTACCATCTGGCACAGCGCGATTTCTGGTTCTTCCTCAAAGTCAAAATGACCATGAAAGGGCAATATTTTGAATCAGTTGGGGTCATCACGACAGCCACACCAGCGCAGCTAATGGCGCTCATGAAAGACCACACACGTGTAGAAGAGCCCCCAGGCCCAGAGAGCGGACAGGAAAGCTTCAGAGGTGACAAATGCCACGCCAGGCAGTGAAAGTTGTTCACAAGGTGGGGATGGGGAGAGACAGCGCCAACACAGGCCAGGAGAGGGGCAGGTTCACGGTAATCCAGACAGGAAGCTGAGCAGCTGGGAGCCCAGGTAGACTTTCTGCTGAGAGAGTGACTCCGCCATTGCGGTTGGTCAACAGCACGGGCGCTGAGGATCCACACACATAAGGAAGCTTTGAGACAAAGAGCAAAACTGTGGCAGAGCTAGAGCCTGGGCCCGGTCACAGGCCTGCTAGCGCGTCTGGACCGGGGAACAAGGACACCCTGTTCTCAAATAGTACTCATGCGGCCTGGGCCTCCAGCTCTCTCCGCTTGGATCAGATGAAGCCTTGGAAATAACTGTAATGGTCTGCAGGGTCTCATTACACAGCTTCCAGGTTCAACCACCAGACACCGAAGGGTACCAGTCTGCAAGGGTCCCTGAGCCACGCTGGTTGATGCCGTGTGGGGCAGAAATGAGTTTCCAGCCCTTGGCCCTCCCCACACTGCAGGTGTGTGAGCAGAACACATTGATGCTCTCTTAAGTCACTGAATTTTGGAGTGATCTGTTGCGTAAGAAATAGCTGGACCAAAATCTGTAGTTTGAGATTTGCACCACTGAGGTTCTATTGTAGGCCAAAGTATGGAAGCACTGTCTGGAAAGCTGACATTGAGGTCGTCAAGGCCTGGACATCGTGGAGTGGGGTCAAGGCAAAGGTGTGCTGTGATTCAGGTGCATGTGGCCTGGCAGTCGGGGGCTCTTGCCTGGGGGCCTCAGCTCTCCCCCACTGGCTCTCCTGAACTTCACTTTTCTTGGGTAGATGCTGAGGAGTATCTCTTGCCCCCTTTTATTCCCCTTTAGTTTTTTAGAAAGGATCTCGCGATGTAGTTCAGGATGGCTTTGAACTCACTATGTAGCCCAGGTTGGCCTCAAACTCAGGGTGACCCTCCTGCCTCAGCCTCCCAAGTGCTGGGATTACCAATGTGCACCACACCTTGATTCTTTTTTTCTTTGTTGCTCCTAGTTTTTGATGAGTTGTAAATTCACTGTAAATTCTGAAAACAAAGTCCTTTATTGGGTGAATGTTTTGCACATACTTTCTTCTAATCCCTTGTTTATCTTTTCATTTTCTAAAGTATCTTTTGTGGTGCAAAACTGGAATTTTAATGAGCTCCCATCTATTAATTTTTTTCTTTTTTGGACTGTGCATCAAGTATTGTCTTGTATTCAAGAAATCTTCAACTAATGGCACGCTCCTAATTTTAATTACTGGATTAATTTTTTATTTGTGGAGCTAGAGGTGGAACCGAGGCCTTGCACCTGCCAGGCAAGTGTTCTACTGCTGAGCTGTATCACCAGCCGGGCCCCTTTTCAGGAGACAAACTTGGTGTCTGACCACTGGACAAATCCATTCACCAAGCCTCCTGGAAACCAAAAGCTTATGATGCTGAAAATAATTGCTCGATGACATCCACAGACACTTCTGGGGGGCTTCGTGGAATGGCAGCACTTTCTGAAAAGCAGGTTAACAATCTCAAGAGCTCCTGCGGGGCCCTTACTCCTTGACCCAGTAATAAATATTCAGGATCCAGGGCAACCTGCCCTCAATGCCGGTTTAATGGAGAGCGGCTGGAGACCCCCTCGCTGCGGGTCTGCCAGGAGGCAGTGAAGAAGTACTATCTATGGCTGTGTTCAAAGCCTGGGTCACGTGGGACAAAAGCTGTGCTTTTTATGTCTGGTTTAATGAGTTCCAATTTACATACTGTAAAATCTGCCCTTTGTGTTTGGGCAGATGGACACAGTCATGGGACTGAGCCTCTCCAATGAAGATGTAAAGTCTCTTCTGTCACCTCAGAAACTCCTTTTGCCTGGCAACGCCTGGAAATAAATACATCAGAAATATACTCTCCTTAGAGGTGGGATGGTGGATGATTTTTAAAATTTGTTTTAGTATTTTCCTGGACTTTGTTGGAAGTGTCTCACACAATACTGAAGCAACTTGAAAAAATAATTTCTTTGCTGGGGTCTTGATGCTTCCGCCACACGGACACCCCACCCCCAGCTCATACAAAGGAACCCAAGGAGACCACTGAGTTTGCTCACTTTGAACCTCAAACAAAACCCTTGCAGATTCAAGGGGAATTATTGCAGGGGCTCCTGGTAACGGGGCTGCAGACAGACAGGCCTGACAGCGCACTATTATAAACCATCGCCTCCCCGAGCCGCGGGGAGCAGAGGCCCTGCAAGGGCTCCCCTGCCAGATATTGAAAAGCCTTCTTTTCAATAGTGACTACTCCGGAAAAATTACTGTTCCAAGGATTCCTTCAGCAGCAGCAGCCAGCAACATAGCGACGGGTAGGGTTATGTCTCGTCCTTGCCTGGGCCACCAGAAATAAGCAAGGATGTAAAATAAAGTCAGGTTCCTTGGCAGAGCTGGGGCTCCCCAGGACCCAGTGAATGAAACCAAGGCTGTCCTCCTCCTTACAGGCTGGCCATTTTGTACAATGGGACAGAAAATACACAAAGGGAGATGGTGTGTGCTAGAAGGGCTCAATGCTAGAGGTCATTAGGGAACTGACACTGGGGCACAGGATTTGGAGGAGGTGGAGGGTGGGAGGTATCGCTGTGGGGTGAGCAGGTACAAAAGCCCTGAGGCAGGACCTGGTTAGAGGAGTGGTAGGAGGGGGGCAGGTGCTGGTGTGCTGGGCCACCATGTGGAGCTAAGGCGAGGACTTTATCTATAGACCCAATGAGAGGAAAATAATTGTATCCAGGCCAGAGAAGGGCGCGGTTGGGCTGACGTATTAAGGGCATCCCTTTGGCTGTCAAGCACGGCACAGGGAGTCAAGGGCAGTTCCTTGGAGGAGGAGGCCGTGAGGTCACAGGTGAGGGATGCTGGGGGCTTGATCCAGGGTGGTCACAGCAGAGCAGAGAGGAGGTGGCAGATTCTGGTGATGATTTGGAAACAATGGAGACGATGGACAGCCTGACAACTGCATATGAGCGTGTGTGTGTGTGTGTCGGAGAGGATTCAAGGCTTGGCCTCAGCTTGGTGCAGATAGGAGACAGCAGAACCTATGACAGAACATAGATAGGGGAAGGTCTTTGGGTTACTGGGGTGAGGCCCTTGGCAGAGACAGTGGGACCCCACCCCACCACGAAGAACACATGCAAGAGAGGTGAACCGAATGAACATGCACATGTCCATAGCAGCACTACTCTCAGTAGTACAGGGTGGAAATGACCTAGATGCCCTTTCACTGATGAATGCATATGCGTGTACACAATGGTCTATCCAGCTCAGGGAGCGTCAGCCCTGGCAAGAAATGAGGTGCCAATACCTGCCTAAACACACAGAAGTCCTGCAAGTGTGGCTAACATGCTCCCCCCAAAAGCCAGCTGCAAAAACAAAAACTATCTTTGGGGGCCGAGGAGATGGCTCAGTGGAATAAGCGCTTCCCTGGCAAGTGCAAGGGCCCGAGTTCAATCCCTGGTTCCGCCAAAAAAAAAAAAAAAACAACCAAAAGTCGGCTGCAGACTGGCGAGACAGCTCAATGGACAAGAGCCTGCTTAGGCAAGCACAGGGACCAGAGTTTAATTCCAGGTACCACATGCTGTGCCTGCCTTGTCCCCGGGCGTGTTGAGCTGGCCACCAAGACTGGGCGTGGTGGTGCACACCTGTAATCCCAGCCCTGGGGAGGCTGAAAACAGGA